CCTCCCCCTCACTCCTCACCATCCCCACTCCCCTCACTTTCTGTACCAGGGCACCTCACCACCACAATATCTTTAATTCCACCCCTTCTAGGCCCCCCCCTTACTTCCCTCTCCCCCTCCCTTACTTCCCTCTCTCCCTCCCACTCACCCTACCACCCCCTCCCAACAGGTCTTGCCCCCTCCCCCTCCCCCCAGGTCTTGCCCCCTCCCCCTCCCCCAGGTCTTGCCCCCTCCCCCCAGGTCTTCCCCTGCCCCAGGTCTTGCCCCCTCCCCCCAGGGCACAGTGGATGTTGACCAGTCTTCCTGTTGACTGCACTTCCTTCCTGTCTGGCTAGCCTCTGGGACATTCCTCGCTCCCAGTGGTGCAATGTGCACCTGGAGGAGGGCGGGGGCGTGGTGCAGGCTACAGTTACTCTACCTGGCAGGGGGCGGTGGTGACGGGGAAGGGGGAGGTGGCCTACTCTGGTATGGGGTGGGGGGGAGCGTTATTAATCGAAGCGTTACTAATAAGACACCTGGTGTTGGTGTTCAGTTATATCTTGCGCTGGTTAGGCCCCATTTAGATTATGCAGTTCAGTCTTAGTCGCCGTACTATAGAATGGATATACATTCACTAGAACGCGTCCAGCGTAGGATAACTAAGTTAATCCCTCAAATTAGAAACCTGTCATATGAAGATTGACAGCTTAAATTACATTCTCTAGAAAGGCGAAGAGTTAGGGGCGACATGATAGAGGTTTACAAGTGGATCAATGGACATAACAATGGGAATATTAATAGGTATTAAACGTATCAACACAAGACAGAACACGAAACAGTGGATATAAATTAGATAAGTTTAGATTTAGGAAAGACCTGGGTAAACAAATGAACAAATCCACAAAGGCCAAGATGAGGGTTCGAACCTACGTCTGAGAAAATCCCAGACGCTGCACAATTTTTGTACCATTGTGACCTGGGTAAACACTGGTTCAGTAACAAGGTTGTTGATTTGTGGAACCAATTACCGTGTAGCGTGGTGAAGGTGGGGTCCCTTGATTGTTTCTAACGTGGGGTTGGACATGTATATGAGTGGGATTGGGTGGTTATAAATAGGAGCTGCCTCGTATGGGTCAATAGGTCCTCTACAGTTACCTTTATTCTTATTTCTTATTACTGTGGGCCAGTCTGCGGTCGGGTTGACTGCA